TTTCCACAATCGTTTCATCCATGTAAAGCGCATGCTCAGACTCCCTCTATCTCTAGCTCGCTCGTACTGATAAGCAACACTTGCAACCAGTAAGTCCCCTACCCCGCAGCTTGCCTCGCGCTACTTCGGTCGGTAGACTGATCAAGATCCAAATGAACCTACCGCTGGAAATCAGCTAGATTCATTGTCACCTTACTAACCCCCTCTCTCGGGCGTAGCTCTCACTGTCTGCTACACAAAATCCATCCGCTATTCCCAAAATCGGACTTCACCATTGTTCACTCGCCCGATTCAGTTGAATATCGGACGAGATATCAAGTTTTTTTCCCAACCATATTCACCTACGTCGTTTCTTCGCGCACACCTCTTCTTATCTAAGTTTAGTCCTACACCACTAAATCCAAATCTAACAATACCATAAGAATTGCCCTACTCAGAAACCCCAAATTTGCATCTTAGATCGGGGAGAACAGTTGGGAAGAGCATGGGATGTGCTAACTCCAGCTCCACGCCATATTCGTTTCGGCGCTTTCGCGCAACTAATTTTCGCTGCTAAGTCCTAACCTACTGACTTCCCACGAAAACTAAAGTCGGATTTGATTCCGCCCGTCCTAAAAGCCTCGGGTTAATCTCTCTCCTTGCCTTAAACCATTCAATCAACGAGCGAGAACCTTGTTCTCCCCTCTTGTCACACTCGTTTCCTGCCATCCCTTTTCTTCAAACGCTCCTGCCGTAGTACCTGTCCAAGTTCATCCTCCTTTTTTCCGCCTCTGTCTGTCTCCAGACCTAACTGCACGTTAGCGTTGACACCACGAAAAATGTCGATTGATACAGATAGCAGTGTTAGTGCGATTCAAAGTCCGTTAAGGAGTCTACAACAGCTGCCCCGATTTCCGACATCCTCAAAGGAAAGAGAACCGGGACACTCCAACCTCAATTTATGTGTGTCACGCACGCACAGGGACCATGCTAACCTCTGTATCGTTCCAAGTTCTTCAGATGTCCCGAAGGATTAACTGCCTGGCCGCGGGCTTCTGGTATCATCACGGTACCATCGAGCACAAGCCAGTCAAAAGTCGCAGCCACGCAGTCCGTCGCGGCCAACGGAGTCCAAACCGAGGTGCGTATCTCCCTTGCCCAGGAATGCACTGACCGACCCGTCCCGCCGGTACAACATTCGCTATGAAAATTGGTAACGTGTTGGCCTCGACTTTAGAACTGTTGAACTCTACCCATCTGTTTCCTAGTGAACTCGAACTTGGGTCTGCATTTCAACAGTTCACGAGGGTATCGGCTGAGCAAGGCCCTGGCCGCTTGGAACAATGGCGTTTTGGTACTTGCGCACGATGCCATCCATATTGCGGCCACCGCCCGCGGCTACACAGGCCGTAGTCAAATGGGTACTCAAAAGCCATAGTGTATTCAGGACTTCGGCAATCCTGCGTGATCAGTCCCGTACCGAATGGGTTGCGATGAACATGCTCACACTCAACCCCCTCGCCGCAAATCGTGGTTGGCGGGTGGTGCCCTCGCAGAGGGTCCCCACCATCCAGGTTTCTCCGCCCCACAGGTTTATCACCCACAAGCTTCCATGCACATTGAACTCCTCGGTCCGTATTTCAAGACGGCGGAATAAATGAATTTTGCCCTCACTCCGAACCATAGCTACGATCCGGACCACCGGACAGGGATCCAGACCGTCCGTGGTCCGGGGTCCGGGTCCGGATCTTGGTCCGCATGTGAGGGTCCCAGCCCAATGGCCAAATTTTTTTTGGGTGGTCCAGGGTGTTTGTTCACGCCCTGGGCCACCCCAAAAAAATAGTGCCTTATTTTTTACCACCCTCACTGACGATCCAGACGGCCCGGAAAGTCTACGAGGGGGTTTGTACATCTGAGTATTAATGTCCTCATTGTGTCCAGCCTCTTTTTCGAAGGATCCCTCCAGCGTATTTGCTGGGACCCTACGTCATGCAGAGGTACAACTCAAACGTGTACTTTGTGAGCGTGGGCAGAGAATATATAGTCTATATTCAAATTCAGGTATGTGCATCTCGGTTTTGGGTCACTATTTCTGTGTTTTCTCGTTTTGCTTTCCTTTTCTCGTTTTGCTTTTGTTCTCTCGTTTTTCTTTTCTTTTCTCTTCTCGTTTTTCTTTTCTTTTCTCGTTTTTTTTTTCTTAGGAATACGTGCAATGGCCCTAAGGGCCTCTACTCACCAAATGCACAAAAGACAAAACATATAGTGGCGTATTATTCCACGTTCTGCAGAAGATTCATTCAAATTTTGCACATTTAGTGAATAGTGCAGCCAAGCCCTAAGACTCACGTGCAGAGACCAACAGGTCCTAGCTACGCGAGCAACCCATAACTGCTGAAACACAGACCTGAACTCGAATCTTGAGTATATATTCGGGCAGCTCATGCTCTACTTCATATCGCTGCCTGCCTCGATTTTTGGGGGAGTCTGCTCTACATGGGTGCGAGGACCCTTCAGATAGCCTGCATGGGCCATCTGAGCCGTGTTAAGGGGATCTGTTGCTCTCTCTCTCTCTCTCCTCTCCCCTCCCCTTGTATAGACACACACCCCTTAAAA